CTATTTCATATTCAACTAGCATAAGATCAGATTCCAAGTATTGAATAATGTTGTGAATCAGAAAATCACAGGTCAGGCTTTTATCTTTTGTTTATTTATATGCGGAAGAGGTACACTGTGACTTCTAAACTCCTTATCGGTTTCCTAACATTGTTTCATGTGGTCATTTCTCTGGCACTTCGGCTGCTCACCTGTTCTCTGCTGACCTAGTTAGAATAATGATTTAAATTTGGTATGTTGTGTTTGATATACCTGATTAGCTGGGATGTAATCACTCCTTGAACAAATCTCATCAAGTGACTCAAGGATAGGTTGCATTTAGCTTGAGCAAACAAAGAATAAATCTGTATTTAAAATTTCATTTTAATCATCACTTTGACCTGAATCCAGTACTAGTTTAAAATATTGAAGTACTCTTTCGTTTTGAGTCAGAGGCTGCTCAGCTCATATGTAATTGAGTAAAAATACCAAGGTCTAAAGTAGACATGTGTAAGAATTCTAAACCTGTTCACCCCTGCAGTCCCTGGGGTGAGAAGAACATTTAAACTTGAAGTAATTCCCCCTCTGTGTTTAAAGATCTAAACCTGTTACTACTTCTCCCCTCAAACTAACACTAGGAATGAGGCCTCTGACACTTCATTTGTAATTCAGCCTGATGCTTCGCCAAACATAGGGAGTGTTATTCAGTCTTGTAAAGAAAATACCCTAATTTCTAGTGTCCCATGCCCAGTCAACAGTATTTCCTTGTTGTGTAGTCATAGCCAAGCACTTGTTTGTAATTGTACTAGTGACTCTAAGCACAAAACCCAACTGAATGATGCCAGGTAAGTTGGCTTGCTGAGCACTTTATATTAATGATAATGCAAAATGACACAAACCTGTTAATCTTGAACTTGCATTGTTGGCTCTTTTCAGCACTGTGAAAATACGGTCGCCTGTTGCATGCATTTGTTTTAAAGGCATTTTAAATTTCTAACTGTACAATGATGTGTATCTGTACGAAGGTTTTTGTGTATGAGACTGATTTGTTCTCACTGAATGAATGAGCAATTATGTTCTCAAAAGGTGATTTAGAGAGAGATAAAGTATTAGACAAGATTGGAAATAACACATTGGTAGTGAAGGATATTGAATTACACAACTTGACTCCCAAAGTGTATTCCTGCATAATGATTTTGCCCATTACAATGAAATAGTATATTAGGGGAATAAAAGATTGTCAGTAAGGTATTTAAGCCTCTGCTGCTGAACCTAGAATACTTATATTTTACCTTTTAATAGTGAATAAAATATTTGACTTTATCAAACTGCAATAAATTAGGAGAAAAACTGTTCCTTTCGTGTTTTATATCAGCCTTAGGGTGAAGGTGGGATTAAATTCCTCTGCCTAACGGACATTTGTTCTCATCATAAAGCTAATCTTGTAATTTCTCACAAGACTGGCAATCTTGGGAGAAATGAGCTAGTACTGAGGTTAAATTACCTTTCACCCTAAAGAAGGCAAAGGATATTCTTGGATGAATGGCTCAGCATGATACACATTATAGATAACTATGCTGTTGCATAATGTAAGTCAGCTTTCGGCTGTGGAAGGAGCTTTAGTCCTGCTTCTAGTAACATAACTGTCTGGAAAAAAAATTCAAGTATTTTTGGAATAACTCAGTTTTACTGGAAGTCTTTAAAATCAGACTGTCTCATTTTATATTATCTGTTGACTACTGATCTCAGCATTTTTAGTAACAGCTGGAGCCATTAATGCAGTGACTTTCTAGTTGAAGAATGTACAGTGCTGACTTTTTTGATTAAATGTGCAGTATATTGGAATTTAAGTTCTGTTTTTGATTTATACAACAATAAGTGATAAAAACACTTTTTTCAACAGAGCAATCGATCCAAAATTTTTAAAACCCTCACATGGCTGCTCACAGATTTAAAGGCAAGAAACTGGGTAACACTTTCAGTGATTACTTAAAATCATTTCAATGAATGAATCTAAGAAAATGCAGATAAAAATCAGAAATTTGTTTATAAAACAGATATTGGAGTCTTTCTTGATTATTGTTTCTTGAAAGCACTAACTCCTCTTTTCTGAAACGTGCTAAGTTATAATGAAGAGTCATAGAAGGGGTTGAATAATAATCCTTGAACAACTTATTTAATGAGTCTTACATAATTACTTTTACCTTGTAGATTTTTTTTCATTGTTTTCAACCAGTCCATCCAGGAGAAGTATGAATTGGAAGAAATTAGAATTCTTATTAAAATTACTAAGATAGCATAGTTTAAAAAGGGGAGTGTTTCCTGAGACTGTAATATGCCTTCATTTGCAAGAATAAAGGGGAGAGATCCAATTTATTTAGTGTTCCTTGATGTATCTTTAAAAAAAATGGATGAATTCAGGGTTTTTTGGAGATGTGTTTGGTTGGAGGTGGAAGATGGTGCTCAAAATGGCAGAAAATTTAATAGAGAGACAAGATGAATGTGATTCTGAACCAGTGAAAGTACAGCATTATAAAGTAGAATATAGGCTGGTAAGAAGGTCTTACATAGTAGCTGGCAATCAGAGATACCAGCAGCTTTTGTATAAATGTATAGAAACTTCAATCAGAAATAATAGTTTGAGTGTAAATTAAGGAACTTGAATTATACAGATGTTGATTTTAATCTCTTGATTAGTTCTGAATCACTTTTGGAAAATCATTAACTACAGATATATACTTACATTGACAGTTTGATCTACGATTTTATGTTGATGTGAGACTTTGATAAGTTGTAATAAAATCCATAGTAGAATGTAGTATTGAGGTGAATTCTTGTACCAGTAAAGGCTCATGTAAAAATAAGAGTAATAAGAAACTGAATTTCTGTTAAGAACCAAATAATAATTGTACTGAAATGGCAGAAAATCCAGTGAAAAAGATGATAAATAGAAGACACTTATTTCTGAGAGTGGCCTTAACAGTTGCCCAGGAAAAGAATAACTTTGGCCAGAAGAAGAGCTCTTGGTATGGATGGTTCAGTAGCAATAAAGAAATGCCTTTGAATCAAAAATGTCTGTTCAATGTATGAGGAAAGAATGTAGCAGGCAAGCAGAGGGGAAGAGGAGAAAGCAGAAATGCTTTTCTGTTCCCTATCCCTTGGTGATCCCCCATTCCCATTGTGGAGAGGAGGTGGAAAATGGAGGGTGGGTGGGGAGTGAGGAAGGTAAAGATCAAGAAGTAATGCATGTGGTTTCTTTCTTTTTCTGTGTTGAATGACTAGGACAGGCTTTTCTCCATGATTTACTTTGTAAAAATCTGCTTTATATTAGTAAACAGAAATAGTAAATAGTACTAGTAGATGCAATAGTAAATGTTAGAGGAAGTTTCAGTGCAAGGTACAAAATATCATTTGCATCTCTGAAATAGAATCGTAAGCACATAATTTTCCAGTAGTATTCTGAGACTGAAGTAGGCTGTGCTTGGGATTTCCATTCCTTTTGTTTTTTTTTGGGTGGTGTTTTTTTGGTTTGTTTGTTGTTTTTTTTTTTTAATTATATGGTTGTCGTGGTTTAAACCCAGCCAGGTAATTCGTTCGCTCACTTTCCCCCCTTTTCTTGCCCTCCCCCTGCTCTCGGAGGGACGGAGAGGAGAATCGAAAAGAATGCAACTCCCACGGGTTGAGATAAGAACAGTTTAGTAACTAAGGTATAACACAAATCACTACTGCTACCACCAATGATAATAATGATAAAGGAAATAACAAGGGAAGAGAATACATCATCTGGGATCGCCCCCCCAGCCCGACCAAGCTCTGACCGATACCTCCTCCAACCCTGCAGTCTCCCAGCCCTTCCGGCTAACTCCCAGTCACATCCTGGGCATGACGTGCTGTGGTATGGAATTCTTTGGCTAACTTGGGTCAGGTGTCCTGTCTCTGCTTCCTCCTGGCTCCCCCTCCTCCCTGGCAGAGCATGAGGCTCACAAAGTCCTTGGCCAAACCAAAACATCGCTTGTTATCAGCTCTGTTCCTGAGCTGAAAGTCAAAACACTGCACTGCACCAGCCACCAAGAAGGGGAAAAATGACTGCTACTGCTGAACCCAGGACAATGGTTTATTTTAATCGGGGCTCTTTCTTCCTGTATAGGGGAAAACTTGGCTTCTGTGACACCTGTTACAGAAGTGAAACGGAATTTCATCCATTACTTGCAACATTTGGGCTTTGTGTGGAATGGTGTATAGACATTTGAGTTAGATAAAGAATACATTTACTGAGTTTCTTAATTCTTTTATCTTCATGATCAGAGGCATTAAAAAGTAATAATAGCAATGATGATAGATCAAGAAGGTCAAGAAATTATTGCCGTCAACAAAAATAGATTTTATACAGTTACTGGCATCATTGTTCTTGTTCTGACTGTTGTTTGTATCATGTACTGTTAATATGAGGAAGTAAAAGCTCCTTGAGTGGAACCTCTATCTTCTGTGTCTGTGACCTGAAGAGGTAGGTAATGTGAATAAGCTGCCCAAGTTCTACATTATCAATCAATCAGTTTCATAGGACTCGATAAGGGTCTTTACGTACAGATTGCTGGTCTTGTCATGGCATCCAAACACTTCCTTTCTCTTTCAGATTTTGCTAATTTGAGTTATGTTTCAGATTTCTTTTCTGCCATGTGCAGCAGATGGGAAATGACAGGGAGCCCCCATCACAATGTTAAATGTCTTCAGACACAAGAAGGACAGTTAAAACTCTTCCACACCTGCTTTAGATCCATCATCACCCCTTGAACTGCCTGACATGCTGATTGTGTGGGCAATCCAAATAGGTGCCGTACCCTGAGAGCCAGCAGCCCCATTTCCAGAGGAGCCAGGTTTTCAGAACAGCTTCAGTTACTCTGCGCAACTCTTTTGCTTGCTCTATTTTTAAAATGAGATTCTTTGTGTCTGTCACCTCCCAGCTACATGTAGATTGTGTGTCAGGGGGCTGACACACAAAAGGCCTCAATCTCTTAAGAACCTGCCACCAGAACACCTAATAGACTGTCAGTTTGAATGTTTAAATGAGACACAGCAAGGGAGGGGAAAATGCTTTTAACAAAAGAATGGTAGACTAGGAAAAAAAAAAACCCAGCTTCACTGACAAGGTAACTGGAGATGTAGCACTTGCAATAGAAGGGAGGTGTTGATGAATGCATTACTAACAGGTGAAAAATGGTGCTTGGATTAGGGCTACTAACAGGAAATACAGAAAGCATTTATGGGTATAAAATGTAGTTGGTAAGGTATCAGGTTGTGATTAGAATTACATTAAGCAGATTGTCTCCTCTGTAGGATTCAGTGTTGTCTTGTCTACCCTTGTGATGACTTGTTTGAGCAATATTTTAAAGCTACATCTGTGTGTGTAGTACAGATTTGTGCATAACTGACTCCTCCAAATTAGTGTTTGTGCATCTTGCAGATGCTTTATGCCAGTACAGGTAGGTACATCTTCAAAACTATACATGGCATTATTTGGTTAGAGATTCAGAACCTAATTCCTATATGTCAACAGCATCTCAAATTGCTTTGCTCAAGAATGAAATGGGGAAAGGTTAGAAATTGCAGGAAAAGTTTTGTTCTATTTTGTGCAAGTGATATAGCTGAGCATTGCCACTATGAAAGCACATTTGCTTTGGTACATGTTTCTTTTTCAGTAAAGCCTATTTCTTGAAAGCTGTGAATTATATTTGATCCTCATTTTTTGTTTGCCACATATGCCATTTCTTCCTGCCTAGAAATTATAAGCAAATACTATTTTATTTTATTTTATTTTATTTTATTTTATTTTATTTTATTTTTTATTTTTTTTAATAACTAATTATAAATAATGAGCTCATACTCTGTTCAAACAGTTTCACAAAGTGGTGGGTTTCTCTTGGACTGTATGTTTGACTGTTGTTCACTGATGCTCAGAGATTGGTTACATAAATTGCGTGTTATTGTTTCAGTTCTAGTGGCTGACAGCAATCAACGGTAGCCTGACAGCAGTCAGTGGTTACAAGCAGTGGGAAGGCATTTTTGGCATGGGTAGGAAAGCACTGCGTAATCAGAAATGAGAAGTCTGCTGGAGGAAAAGTTATCCTCCAAGATGTATGGGTATGAACTTTTGTTCCTATGTGTACAGAAATGTGTGTGAAAAGGAACATACACGGGTGAGAACTACTCAACTGTCATGATGTTGAGAATGTGCCACAATTAAATCGTATGTTGCTTCCTCTTTATGATTATCTTTCTTACTTGATGTGGTGTTAGTACTGTGGAGGTGACTGCAATCTCTCCCATGTGACTTCTTCATCACCTCACATCATAACTGGGTATCCAGTTCAGTCATAGCTTGGGGCAGTTAGAAAAATGTTTCCAAATTTCATTTTACAGGGATGAGTGCTCTATAGATAATTGTATAGAAATTGCAGTATTGCATCTGATTTTAAAAAGGAATGTTTTAATACAGAAGGCTTTTAAAGGGCACCAGTTCCAGAATTGCAGCCTTATGACAGACTTCTGGTATTTGTGGAAGTCAGGTGGGTTTGGAAAACCTGTGTGGGCTCCCTTTTTAAAAACTGTTTTGTGTAGTGTTACTGAAAATGTACTTGAAGATTATTTTCTTTCTTTGTTTTTTTTTTTTTTTTATGTGCACCTTTTGAAGGGGAGAGAACTCAAAAAATAATTGATTCTCTAGTCAGAAAGGGGTGGTGAAAAGTTGACGTCTTGAAAATTCAATTTGATGGTACCTAGCAGTTTCAAGATGTGCCTTCTTGCCAAGCTGGAGACTTATGTGGATTAGCTTTGTATTAGTTTCCTGATTTTTGTGGTGAGATTTCTCTTGTTTCTTTTCTTTACAGTATGAATATAGTCATGAGTGTGTCTTTACTTTAAAAAATACAGGTATGCACTTAATATTGTGATCCAAGATACTTTATAGTATGTATGAAATAATAATAAGGGAAATATAGAAGTTTTCTGGCTTGCTTGAGAACAGGCATATAGAGCAACCATCAGTGTTGGTGTAATGTAGCATGAGTTTTCTTTTCCTGTGTCTTATTTCTGTCTCATTACTGGGAAGTCTTTAAGATAACAGGATTTTCAGCACACTAAAAAGTCCTGTAGGATTACAACTGAAACTTATTCCTACACACACTACCTCATTATAGCAGCTTTTTCTGATTCCATCTTAAACCTGTTCACTCATGAATAGTACTGCTACCTTTAACTCAGTTTAAATGTGCTAGGTGCTGTCACAATTACTGTGACAGGCAGTGATCCTGGAAGCAGAAGGTAGAGATGAATCTCAGACTTAATGCAGGATTAAAGAAGCATGGCAGCCATTAGTCAGAATTACTGTTAATATGCAAATGTAAGAGGCTGTATGGAAAGGAGAAGGGCCTCCAGCATTTTTGTCTGCTCTGAACTTTTAACATTTCCTAGTATGATGTTAATATTCAAAGTAAACGTATCCAAACTGATCATTTATTTTTTTTTAATTTTATGCTTTCCCAGTGTGTGTTCAGAATGAGCAGTCTAATAAATTCCAGCATTGAAGTTTGGGCGTATTAGAGGGAAAATAATATGAAATTAAAATATATACATTATGGTTTTATATACAGCTCTGCAAGGAAAATGCAAGTCAGTTTCTCTACCTAGGTTGCTCCCATAATGCCAAATATCAGCGGTGACCAACTTACTTTGCAGTACATCATGCCTAAGACAGGAGCTAGATGCCGTGGTAATAAAATAGTTGCACTTGGTCTATTCTTGTACTACTTGTTACCAGCACCAGAAGGGTTTTCATTGGTTCTAGACAAAGTTTTAGACTTCAGAAGTAGGTGAAGCTATATTTCCTCAGCTAGAGCAGTCCCGTGCAGCTTTGTCCAAGCAGGTACAGGACTGTAGGAAAAGTATTTTTGTTGCAGTGAGGAGTTTGTTGTTGTGAGACAAGACAGACAATAATGTTTCCAGTTTATTGCTGTTTGCTGTGTGTACAAGTTGGTTTTAAAGACTGAAGTGGCAGGTTGGGAATGCAGGCAGAAGCTGTTGGTACATTCTCTAATGACTTAAACCCTGTTTAAAATGTAACCTAAAATCCTCACAGGATTTCTTTCCTCTAACTTGGTTGCAGACAGAATTTCTGTACAGATGCAATGTATGTTAGATCCTAAATACGTATTTATTGACTGGAGAATCCAGCTCATGCTCTGTTCTGTGCTATATCCCTTTTTCTGGCCACCTAGTTCTGAAAAAAGATTTCTGTGCTTGGAATATTGTTTGGGCTGTGAGCACAGAACATGAATCATGCACTTGAAAGGACTCTTTTCAGATGTGTTTACTACGAGAAGGCCATTTCTGAAAATGTTTGGCCTCAGGGGAAAGATTTCTAGGAAGTTAATTAGCATCCACATGCCACTTCATGGAGTTGCTCTAAACTGTCAGGCTTGTTTGAGTGTCCCTCTATACCGCCATAGGTTGATGTGTGCTGGAGAGGAAGAGCCGCCCAGGCTCTCAATAAATGATCTCTGGAGCTTGCAGTAAGTCCAAGCTTTTGGCTGTTATTATGCATTCATTTTGGAAACTCTAACCGAAGACACTTCTGGTTTCTTCAAGAAAGATGGAAAGGTCTGTTTCTCCCTGAGACAGTAAAATAACTTCCCAGTGCTTGGTTTTGTTCCATGATGTTTTTCAATGGAAATTGGACTGTTTTTTTTAAAAAACAAGTGGCCAGAAAAAGAAACCATCATAAGTGAGTCACTGTCTCTTTCTTCCTGCCTAGCCCTGAATGATGGATCCACTCATGCCTTTGGCTACCTGTTTTGCTGATAACTTGCCAGTAACCAGGTGGCAAGTCCCATGTTGCTGGAGGTTATTAAACAAACAGTTTTCCAGATGGCTATAATATCACATCTTTAAATAAAAGTACACAAGCTTAGTGTCAGAATCTTATTTATGGAATGCTTTTGGCTCTTGGAACTGCTTGTTGAAATTGTTGTAAGCCGTTTGGTCACTGAGAAGTTATTGTGTATTACTGTAGACAACAAGCTGTTTGCATTAATTAGCAATCAAAGCATATTGCCAAATGGGGAATAACATGTCTTTGACATCTCTGCAGATCCTGGTAACTGAAGCAGTGCAAAATCATGGATTCTCCTTTGCTGCATGTTTATAGTATGAACTTCCAGTCCATCTGCCCATATAGCCATCTGTGAAATCAATAGGGCAACAGCTGGTAGAAATAAAACCTAAGGTTGGAGAAACAACATACGAAGGTGCAAGGGAGTTTGTAAGACACTGCCTTTTGCAGTAAAAGGAGCTTTTGTGAGCACTTTGTTCAGTTTCCAAAAAAGAACTCTGAATATTGTCTTGCTCATAAGCATGGTCTTTTCATCATTTAAGGAAGAGATGTAGTAAGCATGATCATGAGTAACTTCAACCAGCTTCAGAGCAACACAGTAAAGCATGATGGAAGGGCAAACCTTCTGAAGACAGAACAGTAAGCTGCCTTAGATGAGGCAATGCGCAGATCACATAGCCAGCTTTCCGCTATCTGAAGGGGGCCTACAGGGATCCTGGAGAGGCACTCTTCATTAGGAACTTTAGTGGTAGGAGAAGGGGTAACAGGTTCAAACTTAGACAGGGGAAGTTTAGGTGAGATATAAGGAAGTTTTTTACTGTGAGGGTGGTGAGGCACTGGAATGGGTTGCCCAAAGAAGTGGTAAACGCTCCATCTCTGGCAGTGTTCAAGGCCAGGTTGGATGGAGTCTTGGGTGCCATGGTTTAGTGTGAGGTGTCCCTGCCCATGGTAGGAAGCTTGGAACTTGATGATCTTAAGGTCCTTTCCAGCCCTAACTATTCTATGATTCTGTGATAACCTCAGAAATTATTAAAATCTTTCCATTCTCTGACTCTTCCACAGTATTTCTGAAGGCAGGGGAGTTAAAGCTGTTTGTCTTAGAACAGCAGTACCTCCATGGAAGCAAATTTAGATGTAGAAGGAGCCCTTAGCTTCAACAGCTAGTTGCGATAGCAATCTATTTATTTATTTCCTGTTAAAAATAGTTGAGAGAGCATGAAAAGACTGGGAAAAACTTTGCAAGAGATCAGGAACTTTGTTCCATGTGAACAAAGAGGAGTGAAGATAAAAAATCTAGACTTGACACTACAAATAATGATGTTTTCCTCTTTAGCTTGTTAACTTTCCCCTTCCCTTGTAAATATGAATATTGTGATATCAAGTGCATTCTAAACAGCAACTGTACATATTATACATTGAGAAAATCCTGACATTCTTAGTATTTCTTGTGTAGAGCTGTCTTAATTCCTCATCAAAGCTTTTTGAAAGCGTTCTTCTTATTAGTGAAGCATCACATGAAAAACTTGAAAGAAAGAACCCAAAGTAGTCTGGACCTACTCTGTGGCAAAATCATTCATATGGAGGGTTTAAAGGTTTAGAACTCTGGAGCTTCACATGCCTCCTTCCTTGGCAGTCCCAGCTGCAAGTTTTGGTCAGGTGTTCTTGCTTGCCCTTGTCTGATGACCAGAGGAATCTTTGTTTACAAAGATTGTCAAGATGTGTATGTTTCTTGGAAAAATGAACTGTTAAGAATCAAATTAATGTAGAAGCTTAAAGTGGATTTAAGAATTATCTTCCTGGACCTATGCAAAATAACTGCATGTGTCACTGTGAACTGCTGTGCTGCTGTGGTGGGTTGGAAAAAATTTCTATATGTGTTTTGTAGTGCGAGTGGTAAGGCCAGTTTTGACTCCTGTGTGCGTATTTGTACCTAGCTAGTAAACATGGTTATTTGAACCCCAGCTGTGCCTGTGTGGTTTCTGCCTATTCTTTTGTGTTGCTTACAGAGCAAAGACACAATGGGAGAGAGGAGGGAAAAATACATTCAAGGCACATTAGTTCTTTGTGTTTCAACTTTCCTTTTTTTTGAGGAATGCATGTATCAGGGAATGCATTTATTCATTTATGCTATGCTTAAGAATTAAAAATATTTGCTACTAAAATTGCCAGGTTCCCCGAGTTATTAAGCACAGTATAATGAACCCTTTGCAGAAAATAACTAGAATGTGATCTATGTCTGCAGAGGAAGCAAAGGAGCAAAACACATTAAAAAATAAATTAATGTAATGCAAAATAACCTTAGTTCCACTG